ATAGAACTGGATGACAATTTGGGGACATCTAACATTAGCCTTCTTGGCTGGAACCAAATCTGCTTCATCTGTTCCTTTCCATTTCATAAGAAACATGAGTTCTCCACTCGAGTCTGTAGCTCCTATAATACGTTCTGGATCCAATCCTCTGTCAAAACCTTGTGGCTTTTTGTCTTCTTCGCTTTTTTTCTTAGCGGGCTTCTTGTCTTCCCCGGCAGAAGCAGTAGATTTCCTCTTCTTGTCATCCTTCTTTGCTTCCTCGTTCTTTTTCCTGTTCTCTTCAAATTGTGAAATCAGTCCTGGACAATCCAAATTTTCCTCTGGTTCCCAAGTATTATCATCGTAAGAATAACCTTTCCATTTCAAAAAATACTGCACTTTTCCATTTTTCACGCGGCGGTCGAGAATTTTCTCGACGATAAATTCTTCTTCACCTTCAGTGGATGAATATTCTTTATCTCCCTTTTTGTTCATGTTTAAATCTGTAACCAAAAAGATGGAAAATTTTGCAACCAACAACAACCTGAATTCTCGAAGAACGGGTGACTTCTGAACATTCCATAGATTCTTCATAGGCCCAAGCCAAGGATGTAGAACAGGTCATAGCACAAATACTTGTTTCTAGTACAAATATAAATACATAGGTATAACAGCTACTTACAGATTTTTTTTAACTTCAGTAGTACAGAAAAATAATTATGATGAGAAACCATCACCATTATTACTTACAATTGATGAGAATTTTTGGGTGATGATAAGTTCTAATGAGTAGGAGTGAGATAAGAGACACTCTTTTAACGCTGGCTTAAACATTTTTATGTCGTGATTTAAACCTTTGATAGTAGACAGAAGACAAATTAATAACTTAATTCCTGTATAGTAAACTCCTTTTGATATTTACTGAGGTTAGAATTCGGCACATGAAGGTTGTATCTGTATTTTGTTCTTATAGCGTGGATATGTGAATTTGTTTGAAATTTTTCTATGTTATGTACTACAAATGAACCAGAAAAACAAATACGTATCGAAATGCATATCCTCAACTCTCAAATAATAATACATTTGGAAAAATTGAAAGCTCTACTTACTAGGCCAATGTTTGTTTTTTCGTTAACAAAAGCAGCTTCAACCCAAGCGCATTTACACTTCCGTACTCTTTGTCTGAGTGTATAGATGAGATAACGTAGTTGCACAGAATACTTAGTGGATTATCTATGGTGAAATGAACATCTCGTCATGTGGAATCAACCACTGTTTTTACTATCTATGGTTTTTGTTATGTGTGGTGTTATTTTGATGAATGCAGTTTCGCTTACATGGTGAAAGTGGTCATTTGTTAGGTGACTGTGGTCATGTGAATTGAGAAAGAAGCGTTAATGCCTACATAATCTGTAGAGATTTTATAATTAAGAATGGCTCATTCTGAATCAATCCAGGAGCACTCAGGCTCTAAGATAGTGAAAGAAAATACTGAAACAGATAATTTGGTTGAGAAGAACGATTGTGACGGTGAGTCATTGCAAGGACGTTACATGGGTTCTTTGTATTTTGATCACTTTAAATGAAGACCGAAATTTTCGAAAAATGTGAAATATTAAATTGTTTGTTTTTGAAAACCCGAGGTTTATAAATTATTGTCACTGTGTAAAGCGGGATTATTTAAATCGCTGGCCAACTCGGCAATGTCGAAGCAGTATTTCTGGTCATGTAAATTTGTCAAGGTGTAAAAATCGTGTTTTTTTAACTTGAGAACAGTGTGTGTATGAGAGACTGAAGGATTAAGTAAGAGGAGGGTGGAGAAAACTGCATGTTTAGGAGTTCCATGGGCTGTACTCTTCGTCAAATATTAAGATGAGATGGTTAGAGCATATAGTGCACATGGGGTAGTTTAGAAATGTGTACAGAATTTTGTTTGAAAAGTCTGAAGAGGGTATACTGTTCAGATGGTCTTGGTGTAAATAGGGCAATAATATTAAGATGGAGCTTACTGACATGGGGTTTGGGAATGTGAATTGGTTTCATGTGGCTTGGGATAGTGTCTGGTGATGAGATGTTGTGCATGCAGTAATGAATCTTGAGGTTCCATGTAAGGTGAGGAATGTCTTCAATAGCTGAGCGTACTATTATTTTTTAAAATAAAGACTGCTGCATGGAGTTCAGTATTTCCTGTAGGCTAGGTTTTATATCTTTATCTCAGATATATTCTTTCTTTGGTATGTTTTCAAACAGCAGTGCATACTGCAACATCACACATATGGTGATGGTGTCTTGTCCCTCTTATTACGTCATGTTCCGCCGTTAGGTTTCAATTTTTTTTTTCCTGTGTGAGATGTTTTTTCAAATGCCATGACCATGGTGACCTAGCACCTGATGTGGCTTGTAACCAAAGAATCTTGCATCAACTAGCACTTCATGCTGGAAGAATACTTAATCAGCAAAATCTCATTCAGATGTATTCTGAACTTCAAATGACTTTGTGAGATTTGGGATTTTCACGTTGATGAAGATGATGCTGTCCTTCTGGGTTTTGATGCTATGTAGACTTGTTGGTAGGTGTCAGCATTTTGGAGAAACGTACTGTGTCCATCTTCAGGACTGAAGATTAATTTTTTCTCTATATTCTGTGCACATTGCATTTGTTGACATAGCTACATTCAGTTGTCACTCTCTACCTTCTGGCCAAAAGTACAAGACAAACCACCGAGCACTGCACGACATTCCTGATATAAGTTAAGTGTTGCTTGATTGAAACAATGAAATAAACTTACCATTGTTTCTACAAATGCTGAAAATCATGTCCTTGTGTATGCACACACACTCTCTGTTCTGTTTAAGTAGGTTGAAATTTTTCTGCTTCATCGCTTCAGTTGTTAGGATTTAAGATTCTGGTGAAGCTGTTATTCCTGAGTCGCCTTTCTTATTCACTTTCGTGGGCCCCAGATGAATGTAGTTTACACATATTTGACCACCTCATCTCATGCAACCAATTTTACTAGTTTTCTAATGAGATAGTGTAATTGCGTCATATTGTGAATATTATAACAATTATTTATTTTAATCCGTCTTATCACAATATTTAAAATTTCTTATAATTAAGATAATAAAATATCATTGATGTTCCATATCGATTGATCGATTATTATCTTAATTATAAGAAATTTTAAATATTGTGATAAGACGGATTAAAATAAATAATTGTTAGTTTTCTAATGTCACATCAATATTCTGTCCCACTGCAGAATTGTTTTCTTTGTTTTTACATTCACGGTGTTGCATGTGAGTGACAGGTTTAATTTCTTCTAACCGCAGCATACACTACGTCTAACACTGCGGTGTCCGCGTGCCGGACTGTCATTTCTACCGCTCACGTAGTACCAATGCTTTGTTTCCTGTAACCAAGCTTACCCGCACTTTCATGTTGATGTCGGTAGCTTTGTAATTCAAGATTAATTACTTGGAAAGTTTATATGCATTAAGATATCCGTCTTCTGGGTTATTGCGCTGTGTAGTCCGGTCGATGTTAACCAACGTTTCAGAGGTCATACTGCCTCCGTCATCAGAGTATGAAGATTTCTGTCTTCTGGGTT